TGATCACAGGGAAACTGAAAAACAGCATTTTTTAATGCTAGATACTTCTTTTATTCATTAACATTGGTTAAAGTAAAACATTATAAAGTAATATATTAACTTCTACAGCTCAAGACTAGGATGACTGTAATTAAATAGAACCTATAAATTCAAAAGTTTCATAAGACAGTTACATTCAACTTTAGAAAGCTCCTAAAAGGTTATAACCTTTATTCAAATTGGTAAATATGTATAAATAAATGATATACATACCCACACAGAATACTACTGCCAATCACAGCGCTAAACACCTTGTTAATCATTTAAGAACATTGCCAGTGATTCATGATATGAGTTTAAGAAGGTAAACATCATTTTCTGAAGAAAACTTCAGCTTTCCCATATTTAAAGCTGGGAAAATATTTCATCAATAAACATATTATGGTATATGAAAAAGTTTACAGGGTAATTAGAAAGGAACTGAGACCAAGATATAAAAATAAAAATTACTATAAACCAAAACTGGAATTTATCAGATGCTGACTTTCAGAAGGAAAAAAAGGACAAGAGAAAGAAGAAGAAAATTAATTTTGCACTTCTCATAATCCATTATAATTATTTTTTTGTCCAGAACTTCTGGTTAAGATTACACAGTACATTAAGAATAAATGCTTAGAGCAAGACACCAAATGTAGTTTCACATTTCTTTAGTCTCAAAATTTTCAATAACAAATAGAATCATTTCTCCTACCAACCACTCTGCCTATTAAATATACACTACTGAATGACTATTGGGGAGGGAGGGACTGAAAATAAGGAATCTACAAATCTCAAATCTAGAAATTCAATTTTAACTTCAACTGCCATAGAGACATATGTGGAGATGTAAGAGTCGATATATTAACAAAAGGAAAATAATGTGATATGATTTACATTTTGAAGAAATACTTTAAAGCATTTAACATTAAGAATTATTCTTAACCTCATGTTTAATCTATTCTTAAAATACTATTTGGTGAAGTTTATATAGAAAGAGTTCATTTCACTTATGGGATACATAAAAAAATAAGTTCTCAAATAATCATGGTGAAATTCATCTGTTAGTTCACATATAAAGTTATCACAGAATATAATTATAAACATAATAGTTAAAACATATACAAAACAAAGCAACAACCATAACATGTTTTGTAAAATTCCACACTTAAAAGATATGCATTACATTACACTCTAAAGGTAAACAAACACCATAAAGGAAAAAGAAGTTTTCATGTTCAAAGAATACATCATCAAAGTCCAAAATTACCTACAAGTCCCCAACTGAGAGTTCTTTTAGTTTAGGCAACCTTTGACTACCTTCAGATATAAGCATTTTCCAATATAACACATTATAGGATTTGGAGAATTTTCTAAAGTATAATTAGATTCAGGTCAGAGAAACTATAATAGGCATTCCAAAATTCTAATCTTTCACTCAAATTATCTAAATCAGGGTGAATATTAAAAATACTGTGTGAGTAGGACATAATAGCTGCAAAAGAAATAGAAGACAAAGAACCGTAAAATGTTTGTAATGTTATTAATAATTAGAATATTAAATGTGCTAGTATTATCCCTGAGAAAATTTTCTAAAATACAAAAAAAATAAATTGGACTAATGAACAAAAGCAGGTCCCATAAACTGCTCAAAATTTAGATTTAAATCTTCAAGTTAACAAGTGTATGACAAATATGGGACCCTGTGGTGTTGTTATATCCAAATCCAAAGTTAGGTTAAACGACAGCAAGTTTCAAGTACAACATTAAAACAAATATGACTTAAGAAGAAGATAAAACCTCACTGTAGCAGTCAAGAAATTACAAATAGTGTCACATAAACAATCATTCAGGCCGGGCAGGGTGGCTCACGCCTATAATCCTAGCACTCTGGGAGGCCAAGGTGGGCGGATTGCTCAAGGTCAGGAGTTCGAAACCAGCCTAAGCAAGAGCAAGACCCCGTCTCTACTATACATAGAAAGAAATTAATTGGCCAACTAATATATATATAGAAAAAAAATTAGCCGGGCATGGTGGCACATGCCTGTAGTCCCAGCTACTCGGGAGGCTGAGGCACCAGGATTGCTTGAGCCCAGGAGTTTGAGGTTGCTGTGAGCTAGGCTGACGCCACGGCACTCACTCTAGCCTCCGGCAACAAAGTGAAACTCTGTCTCAAAAAAAAAAAACAAAAAAAACCCAATAATTCAAAGAAACTGAAAAGCATCTGAAAATCTGATCAAAAAACTTATGAATACAGGAATAAACTCTCCTCCCTCCCCCCGCCCCCCATTTTTGGGTAGAGACAGGGTCTCGCTATGTTGCCCAGGCTGGTCTCAAATTCCTGGCCTCAAGCAATCCTCCTGCCTCGACCTCCCAAAGTGCTAGGATTACATGCATTAGCCACACCGACCTAAACCATATTTCATCTATATTAAGGTGTCCTTTCTGTCAACATTCAAATATCTGAAACTAGGCTGGCCTTCAACCTGGTTTTAAATCAAGTTATTGCAGAAAGGAGTCATCTTTCCCCTGCCAGTCATCTAGGGGCACCATAAATCAAGACAGCTTTGAATCCTTGCCTCGAGGTGTATTTGGACACTACTATGAACCTGAATCAGTACTGGTTTACACTTCAAATTCTCAGAGAAGAAATTTTTTTTTTTTTACTCCCTCCACTTAGTGCCAACGTTGGGATGTGGACGTTTCCTATCTGTCCCTCTCTGTAGAAATGTTTAATTCTCATTCATGTACTTTTACATGAAGGGTGTAGCCTTTGAGTTTTCCACCTTTATAACAGGGCCCCCACCTTGAGTGTTTTCTTTTTCCCTCTCAATGGCACATAAAATAATGGTGCATCTTAGAACTGATATCATCTTAGAATAAAATATGGTAAATCAAATAAAATTGTTTCTAATAAAAAGTAACAACAGCAATATTTATTAAATAAAGAAAATAAAAATGAAGTTGTAAATACCTGTCATTTGGATACACTCTCAAAAATCTTCTATCAAAATCACTTTCAAATCTAAACCTCTCGTCCATTTCTTCACTTACTTCAGGATCTTGGTCTGGTCTATAATATTGTCTATCAAAAACACGATCCTCATTAAATCTATGAAATCTTCTATCTGGAATGCCAGGCTTGTTTGCAAACCTTTGATGTTTTGTATTGGAAATGCCCACTTCTTCATTAGCTTTTTTAATAATTCTTCTATTCCTTAATTCAATTTCATCATCTAGTTGTCGATATCTGTCCTCTTCCAGTCGCCTTTGGTTCAAAAGCTCTTCATATGCCTCTGAAGGAGTTAAGACACCTCTCCTAGGACCCTCCGAATTTTCACAAGATGTTTGTATTTGTGAAGATAAATCAGGCTTAAATTGACTTACAGGTTTTTTATTTCTTTGACTCTTGGGCTATATTCAATTAAAAAGGCAAAAAGAAACCAATCTTAATGAGGTACCATCAATTAAAAGGTAATGAAATGGTCAAATTATGCTTACACTATCCATCTCAATGCTGACATTTAATCACCCGTAAGAAATATCTTTTCTTTATGAAAAAATCTGAAGAAAATTTTATCTATCTGCAAAACTTATTAAATACCAGTAGATAGGCAACAGTAATATGGATAAGTGACTACTAAAAGGATAAACTAAATGCAAATTCCTATCCAAGGAGATATTAGGTATATTTTGACAAATATTACTTCAAAATATTTCAAATTAAATTCTTTCTCAACACAAAGAATACAGAGGGTGGTAAATGTTTTGGCCCTAAAAATATTGACCACCTTTGAATTTGGAAAAAATATATAGCTAGAAATAGTAAATATAAAAAACATTTAAACATAAAAATAAAAAATCACTTAACAAAACTGATCTCTAAAATTAAATCTCCCCAATAAGGTTAAAAGTTAAAAGATACGGTAAGTTCTTCAATATGAGATAAAACAATTTCCAAAACTAAGTATTTAAATATCCTGTGTTTGATTTAATTTGTCTTAATTTTTCAAATATTTTCATAAAAACCAAGTGAAATGTCTAAAACATAAACTTTTCGAGTATGAAATAGTTAGCCTGTGGTATTAAAGATTTACTTTTAAAGCAAAACCTACCTCAGTATTCTTTTCTACCTGTCTGAATTTTTCACTGGATTCTTCTTTACCCCTGAGAAACTGATTGTATTCTTTGTTGCGTTCAAGTTTCAACCTTTCCTTAAAATAAGAAATCAAAAGAGAATATTAACTTCAACTTCAGGAAAAAGTACATTAAGGTCAAATTAGAATGTCAAATCAGAATCATACAAATCAGAACTCTTACCCAGAATCAAGCTTTACTGATAATTTCAAGGATAGACGTCATTGTAAAAATTAAGCAGGTGGTGAGAAGGGAGGAGAGGATGGGTAAATTCATACCTAACAGGTACAATGCACATTATCTGGGTGATAGGCACACTTATAACTTTGACTCAAACAGTACAAAACCAATTTATGTAACGAAAACATTTGTACCCTGGTAACATTCTGAAATTTTTTAAAAAGTAGGCCAGGCGCGGTGGCTCACGCCTGTAATCCTAGCTCTCTGGGAGGCCGAGGCGGGCGGATTGCTCAAGGTCAGGAGTTCAAAACCAGCCTGAGCAAGAGCGAGACCCCATCTCTACTATAAATAGAAAGAAATTAATTGGCCGAATAATATATAAATAAAAAATTAGCTGGGCACGGTGGTACGTGCCTGTAGTCCCAGCTACTTGGGAGGCTGAGGCAGGAGGATCGCTTGAGCCCAGGAGTTTGAGGTTGCTGTGGGCTAGGCTGATGCCATGGCACTCACTCTAGCCTGGGCAACAAAGCGAGACTCTGTCTCAAAAAAATAAAATAATAAAATAAATGAATGAATGAATGAATGAATGAATGAATGAATGAATGAATGAATGAATAAAAAGTCATTGTAAGGCACAAGAGAAACAGGAAAAGGTCCAAGACGACCAGTGTAGCTCCCCAGGTCTTTCTTGCCACATGAGTATAAGCACAGTTACATGATTTTGCCCATTAACACATGAAGTCTCTAACAAAAAGGAGCTGTTTCTTTTTATGAAACATCTCCATTTTATACTCCAGTAGTTACAGAGCTTAAATGATATTTTCCAAAGAGCCAGGCCCCATAAATCCAGAGATTCCAGGTTTGTTAACCAACAGCAATTCTAGACAAATGAGATACAGTCTGCCAAAAGCATTCATAGATAAATCTCTCCCACTAGTAAATACAATGAATGTCTGTCATGAACATGTTTCTAAGGATATATGATGGAGTTACCTTCCTTCTTTCCTTCTCAGGGATACCTCCCCTCCCGTGATCCCCCAACCCATTGCCCCTAAATACCTGCTGCTAACAATTTCCTTCCCAAAGTTACATTTTAAATAGAAAAAGGTAAAATTATCATAGATACTAAAATATAATGAAATGTTCTGCTAAAACACAAATATATTGCATTAGGAAATGTTCATAAACCCCCTAATTCCTCCAATGTCACTGAAACAACACAATCTAAAAAAATTAAAGAAACTAGATCTGTTTTTTGAAACTTGTTAACTGTCTATTTTATCTTATATATTATTTCATGATCTCTGATTTACCCTGGGAAGAGAGTCTCTACAAGAGGTGTACAGGGCTTTATCACAACCACCTCTACAGAGTATGGACACGTTAGTGGAATAACAGAAACACACATTCAAAGAGTCCCTACCCTCAACCCCACATAAAAGCTCAATGTACTCTCAGTTCTATTCATTCCACAGATAACCATGTCACCTGGTATAAACTTTGTAACTGAGAAATCAATGCTGAAAAAAATGAATTCTGAATATTCAATTACATATAACCAAATACAGTAAAAGAATCAACATATTAAAGAAATATATCTCATTATATGGTAACAAATGTAATATTTAAAAACTTCTTTTAAGCATCACAACTAGAAACTCCATGGATTTTTGAAAAAGAAATATATTCAAGTATAGGGAAATTATGTAACCTTCTATTTGCATTTAAATCAGAAGTACGTTCTTTCGTGACTTTGATGTCTTGGAAAACTACTACCCACAATAAGTGCTCCTATCCACCTACCTTAGCAGATAACCTCTCACCAATAGGAAGAGAAACTCCCAGAGTAGATGGATCTGTTTCACCCGTGGTTAGAAAATTTTTCTGTACATATACACATTAAAAAAATATATTACCTAATTGCCTTTATAAAATGTTTCATAAATGTCTTTACATTCAATATTCTTAACTAGTATTGCATTATGTAGAGCAAAAGAATGAAATGGAAATGAAGATAGAAACTACCAATCTACAAAGACCAGACCAAAAGCAATTGGAAAAAAGAGATTTTTTTCTAATCAACAACTCCCAAAAGGAAGAATCAGGCCTTAATTTTCATTTGCAATGCGCATATGTATATATATATACATACACATACATACATACATATATATATATATTTTCAAGATGATTAGAAGCATGGAAAAAAGAAAACTTTCCCAGCATATACTCTTCTAAGCACATATTCTTCACTTTCACTCTTCTACTGTTCTTCTGTTCTTAAGGCAAATTTAAACTTTCTCACAAATCTCCTTATGCATGCTACAGTAAACGTATTTTTTTCTGTTCTTCCTATAATTATATGAATAAATATCTACTGGCATGCCAATAGATATTTAATATAAACTATGAACATTGTCTCTTTATGTGTTCTTTCATTCTTGTTCATTAAGCATTTAACTAGCAGTCAAAAGACCAAGGATCCATGACTACCCCCAACACTTATCAGTCGTGTAACACTGAGCAGGTCAGTTAACTTCTCTGACAGACTTTTCTTCTTCTGTAGAATGAAAATTATACCTGTTCTGCCTACTGACCAAAGCTGCCATAAGGATCCAGGAGGATAAAAAATGTAAAATTTCTTTGAACACTATAAAGCAAATATAACAGACTAGTGAAAAATATACATAATCCTCAACTTTCTGGTACTTAGTGCTTAGTAGTCAAATAATCTAGAATAAGTTGCTTAACTTTTCTGCCTCAGTTTCTTCATCTGTGAAACAGAGATATGCCATCTACATCAGTAGGTTATGAGGATTAAATCAATCAATACCTGTTAACCTCTAGTTCCATGGCTTTCATTTACTCATTAAACAAGCAATTATCAACCATCTAATTAATACTTTCTAGGTACTATTTTAGGTGGTAGGAAGACAGATATGTTCCCTATATTCTAGAGATTTACAATTCAGTTAAGGAAACAGACATTTTAACAAATAACTACAATACAATGTACTAACTGCTACAAGAGCATTATATTCAAAATATTATGGGAACAGAGTGATTAGTGAAAGTGATTAACAAAGTGTCATTAAATCTGAGTCTTCATATAAGTTGTGCTACAAAAGCTAATTTGAAAGTTGGTTGTATAGGACTGTAAACTTATTTGACAGGGGAAACAAAGCCACATGACTAGAGCCCTGAGTCAGTGTACCTCCTATATACTAAAACACACTATAAACCAAATCATTTTGTAAAGTTATAAATGTATGAAAAAATACAAAGTTCCAACCCTGTGAAGACAGCTAAAACATCCTCATTCCTTCACTGGGCAATTCCCTACTCCCAACACAGGTCCAGAATGATGTTTGAAATTTTCAGTAAAATGAAAAAAATAAACAATAAGGACAACATAGAGAATTTTTCAAATAGCTGGATTGTAGCCATTCACTCATTCATTCACTAGATATTGAGCACCTACTACATGGCCAAACTCTTTGATACATCTCTTCATCACTGACGAAAACAAACAGAGATCCCTGCTCTCCTAAAGTTTACATTCAAGCAGAGGAAACTGACAAGAAATAATAAATATAATGAAGAATAATTGTCTAATATGCAAGACGGTGATAACTGTTATGACGAAAAAAATTTTTTAAAAAACAGGCCACAAGCTAGGCACAGTGGCTCATGCCTATAATTCTAGCACTTTGGGAGGTTGAGGTGTGAGGATTGCATGAAGCCAGGAGGTCAAGACCAGCCTAAGCAAGAGCAAGACCCCATCTCTACAAAAACAGGAAAATTAGCTGGGCGTGGAATTCCAGCTACTCAGGAGGCTAAGGCAGGAGGATCGCTTGAACCCAGGACTTTGAGGTTGCAATGAGCTATGACAACACCCCTGTACTTTAGCCCAGGCAACAGAGTAAGACCTTGTTTCAAAAAAAAAAAAATACAAATAAAAAATTTTTTTTAAACCCAGGCTACAGATGGTGCAGGCTTCTAGAGGAAAAGGATGGGAAGAACAGATATCACGAGGTCCCTTTTGGACATGTTCTACATAAGATACCAGTTAGATTTCTAAGTGAAAATGTCAAGTAGGCAGCCAGGTGGAAAAGTCTGAGGTTCAAACAAAGGTCTAGGTTGGAGATATTAATTTACTGATTCAATTTAAAAATTTTTCTTCTAAGATCATGTCTTTTCTATGTTTAGATGGTCAAGCATCTTTTATTCTAAAAACCGGAAAGAAGATGATAGTTGTTTATTTTAATAGTTCTTCTTGGCAAATTAAAGATTTTTTTTTAATTTAAATATCCATGTAATCCAAAAGTCAGGAAACTGTAAAGGATCCAGAAGAAGTGATACTTGGAAACCAAACATATAGAAGCTGCACCCACTGCCCCCTATTCTACGTAGTTTCCTTTTTCCCTTCCTTTCCTTTCCACCCCCACCTTCTCAGATATCAACCAAAGATTGTCTCTTTCATTTTAAGGAAGTATCACTTCTCTACCACAACTATATTCTTGATAATCCAACACCAAAAATTTCCTTCACATCCCTTTGAATTTAAAGATTTGTACCCCTTGGTCTCTTATGCTTTCATAAAGGCAATTTCTTCTTATGCTCGCTCACCACCATTCTTTTTTCTCATCTTAGATTTATGAAGTAATACAAAATTTACAAATGAAAATGGTAGATATCTGGTACCAGAGGAAGGCCCCATGCCGGAGGAAAACCCTACCGGGTAAGAAGGGGAAGATAGTGAGATATAAGCCCAGGGAGTCAGGCTGGGACATGAAAGACATGTGCCATGCTAAGGAATTTGAATTTTTACCCTGGAAGCAGATACTGACATATTTAAGTTAGTTAGAGACAGGATCATTCTGGAAAAGTAGCATGGAGAATGGACTAAAAAACAGTGCAAGAACATCAGTCAAGAAGCTGTAGCAGTAATTTAAGACAGTAAGATTTGAATCTCTACATGCAGAACTAAGAGTCCTAAAATAGTTATCATGCTCTTCATAGGCTACTTAAGGAAGTACAGTGTTTCACCTCCGCCTAGCATATGTAAAAAGTTAAAAAATCCACTGCCTTCTAATCTGATCCTATCCTATCTATCTACACTTTTATTTCTTACTATTCCCAAAAAGAACAGTATTCTGACCCAGTCAGCCTAGTAAACCTAATATGCCTCATTTGATACAAAGCTAAAGTCTGCCCTCCAAGTCCTCCTTCATTCCATATTCTCCATCTGAAAAGCTTTGTCTCAATTCTTCCTCTAGATTATCCAAATTCTACCTATCCTATAATGCCTTACAAATAATAACTCCCACCATGAGGTCTTTCCTGATTATATCCTTCTTGCAGTTAATCACTTTCTGAATTGTATGAATGTTACCTCTACAACTAGATTCTAAGTCCCCTGAAGCCAGGATCCATACTTGATTCATCTTCATGCTAAGTGTTTAAAAAATATTAGTTTAATGGTGAATGAATGTGTGTGAGATTCTTTTTTAAAACAGTTTTATAAAACTAAAACAATTATTTCTCTTTGTTTTCTAATATAAATTTACAAATTCATTCCACAAATTTTTGGTGTAAAACTATTGAGTAATCCAAATCCTGACAACACACAGTTTCGAACATCTTCAAATATCTTGAATATTCTACTATTTTATTAATCTTACTGTGATTAGTATAATTTGAGGAACAAAAACTAGCATGCTGAAAACAAATGGGTTTATAATAGCTGCAGAATATTTATAAAGGATGCATAAGAAAGCAACAAAAACAAATGCAAAGCAGGTATCAAAAATAATAATTGTATTAATGGAAAATTATAATGTGTATTCTGCTATCTTGCTAAAAGCAAGGTTACAAAATGGTACCATTCAAACATCTCAAAATCACAAATGAAGCTATTTTTCTAATTGGTTTGAATCTCATAAACACAAATGATTGCAAGCTACTAGATATTTAAAAAAACAAAAAAGCAAAAAAGCTAAAGGAGAACATTTTGCAGGCAATCCTACCTTTCTTTTTGCTTGTGTAGTGCCCTAAAATCAAGGGAAACAAACCGTTGATAAAATATATTCAGATAAAGTTCATTCTCTCCATGTGCAAATCAGAATAAATAAGAGACCATTTGTATACTTGGAACAAACATTATAAAGCAATGAAAAACTAAAGAATATCTTGGGATGACTGAAACATGACTGTTTAAAATAACTTTAAAACCTAAAAAGTAAATTGCATTTTAAAACTTACAATAAGCCTTTACTTTAGCCATTATATAATTTAGCAAAATATACTTAAAATAAGGGTTCTGCTTAGTAAAGCATTTTATCATAAAACAAAGACTTTGGTGGTTAAATAAATATGCTAAATGAAATTTTATAAGCCTAGTCCATAGGAAAACAATTAGGAACTAGAACTCCATGTGTCATTTTAATACACAATTGGGGGTTGTAGAGGAGTGGGAAAATATAATTGGGCTACTTTAAACTATGACAATTTTAACAAAAAACATGAACCACCAGAATTTACAATCCTCACTTAAAATTAAAACCCACTGCCCTACTCCAAAAGTAAAGAATTTGTGTTATTCCACCACATCATTTCTCGGCACCATTTTTTTCTTTATCAATGTCATACATTTGTCACTTAACTTTGTGTATACTACTACTCTGCTAGATACCACTGAAAAGCTAAAAATTAACACATGATTAATATTTTACAAAAAATTTAGGAGATGAATTCTGAAACATAAGATCCAACTCATTATTAATTACCTGAGTAAGATAGCGTCTGTAATCTTGCCGCAATTCCTCTTTTAGTTTATGTTTCTTCCGCTCATAGTCTTCCCCAAGTGGTAAACTTAATCCATAATCAATTCCTAGAAAGAAAATAACTTCCTAATATAGTTCATTTTCAAACCAGTCTCAAGAAAGTTCTACCTCTTGAAACAAAACACAGTAAGAAGGAACACAGTTATGTTGATTTTGAGACTAGGATCAGGAAATCTTATGTCTCAATGGGTAACACATTCACATAGTCAAAAATGTCATTCTCATCAATGAACTCTAACCACCCTGTTCTCCTGCCCAGAACAACCAACATTATTGTTTCTTCTATCTCCTTCCAGAGATTTTTTATTCATTTATAGATATTTTTATATTATTGTATAGGTACATATGTGTGTGTATGTGTGTGTATTATATGTACTTTTTCCCCTGTTAAGATAAATGGTCCTGCATTGTTTAGCACCTTGCATTTTCAAGAATAGCAAAATTAAAGAAAAGAAAAGCTGATTATCCTCTTCATTTAATTTTACTCTAATTTCTACAGAAATAAATATCTACAATAATTTTAATGTGTCTTTTTCAGTCAGAGAAAATTAACATAATTTTTAGCAAACAAGAATATTTTCACTAAAACATGCTTCTAAGAATAATTATTAGGGCCATGAGTTGTTTGGGATGAAATTTCCAAAAAAATTTAGAAAATTCTGATTTTGTATGAATAGATGTTAATTTTTTTTTAATTCAAACTTGAAGCTGTTAAGGATGTTAACTTTTTATTGTAGTAATATACACCATATAAAACTTACCATTTTAACCATTTTTAAGCACAGAATTTAGTGCCATTAAGTACATTCAAATGTTGTGCAACCATTACCACTATCCATTTCCTTAATTTTTTCAAAATCCCAAACAGAAACTCTGTAGATAAATGTTAATTTTTAAAGAAAAATTTTTGAGTAGTGTTTCCTTACATAGAATTAAAAACTCAAATTACATTTTAGGATAATGGCAGTGATGATGATTGTACAACTTGTAAATATACTAAAAAATCACTGAATTCTACACTTTAAGTAGGTAAACTTTATGGTATGTCAATTACAGCTCAATAAAACTGTTAAAATTCAAATTATATACCTGTCAAATATTTAACAGTAAAATACCATGTGGAGAAACACAGACATCGAAGAGTTTATAGGATTTGAAGGCCTTCTCCCTTTTTTCAGTCCTGCCATATATATAACACTATAGTATAAAAAATTATTTCTAAACAAAATAAAAATTTTTCCTTAGAGATTCAACTAAAAGCACTATAGATGAAATAACTGACTGCAGTTTATAAGTTGCCATAAAAATCACCATTTTTGTGCCTTATTCCTCACAATGAATGCAGCTAAATCATGGGAACTTAACATGAATGGGTCATATCACTGCTTTATTACATCACTGAAATATTTCAGGGAGAAAATGTCCAAAGTGGAGTAAACATAAATGGATCTTTATTGATTTTTACAGAATACTAAATTCCACTTTCCATTATAAACACTGTGGAATTCACTTGATAAACACTTCTGGCCTATTTAACTCCTTGATGAAAGAGGATTCCTTACAGACACCTCTTAGACATGCTCCCTACTCTCTTCCAAAAGAATCTAAAGCATTCCATATGCTTGGAATTTTAAAACATCCTAGAAAGGAACTCTTTCTTCACAAAGGAATCTAAACCTCATTTTTAAAGGTACAGAATTTAAGCCTAAGGAGAGAAATAGTTGGGATTCTAATGTTTAGAATGAAATATTACATATGAAATAAAACTACAAAATCCATGAAGGCAAGGTCCATGCTTTATTCAATTTTATAATGTCTGGCACACAACTTTTGCCCAAGAAAATGTTCATCAAATAAATGTGTGAATGAATATGAATGAATGCCCAAGCAAGAGGAAGGAATGAGAAAAAGGTAGAAAGAAATAAACTATTCCTAATATTTCATTTCTGCTTTTAGCACTCTGACTGCATATAGAGAGGATGCATAATAACTAGTAACCAAAGTTACATATCTCCCTCACATACAAGTCACAATGGATGTTATATTGTGTCAAGGAGAAAAAGACAATACTGCAAGGAGACACTTTCCAATAGGCTCAGCTTTACCACACCACCAACAAGCAATTTACAGCTTTCTGAAAGTCATGTGTTTAAAATGGCTTTTACTATGGTTTTTTGTTTGTTTGTTTATTTGTTTAGTTACTATGGCTTTTCAATTCTACTTGGTGGGTTTATATAGAAGAATGGAAAGAAAAATGTGATTCATTTTCATTTATAAATTACTGTTCATATTAAGTTCAATGTTTATTTACCAAGAGTTTTACTTCTTACTATTCATTTATATAGTATTATAATAATCTTAGCAGACAAATAACAGATAATGCCTTCTGAATTATTTACAATTTTGTTAATTTAATGTATAGTCAACAGAAAGCACTAACTTTTTAATTCTTATTTTTGTTATCTGGTATTAGAGGTAAGTCACAGAAATAAAATTAAGACTGTATAGAACAGTCTAAATATACTACTCATTTTAAACTATGTATTAACAATGGCATCTCAATTGACTTAATGAGCTAAGAAACATGGTGAAACTTACTAGCTGTTGTCTTCTGATGATTCTAGTGGCAAGTAAAACATTGGTGTCATTTTAGGGTCATATGAAGTGATGTCACTTCATAAAGTACAACATCAATGACCCTAAGATAGTTAACATTATACTTCAGAATTATAACAATTAGAGGTATTTGGTTTCTATAGCAGTTGTGGCTTAATAAACCAAAGTACACAATCTTTTTAAAATTAATTTACCTTCTAATTAATTTATTTTCTGCACTTAGATTTGCTCTTTTGTGAAATGTCTAACCAACTTTGGCCATTTTTAAATGTTATTGTCTTTTATCTATGGAATTATAGGCTATATAGATAAATAGGAAGGATATATATGACACACATATGTGTGTTTGTATATATAGATATATAGATACAGGTATACACACATATGCTACAGACATACAAACTGCAAATATATTTTCTTGCCCTATGGCTGCCTGTTCAACTTTTTAATTATCTTTTGATGAACAGTTCTTAATTTTAATGAAATCCATTTAATCAAACTCCTTCATGGTTACTTTTCAAGTCATGTTTATGAAATCTTAACACCTCTCCCTGCCCCCACAAACCCCTACCTCTGCCGCAGCAAGGTCTTGAAGATATTCTCCTAAATTATCTCTAAGAGCTTTACAGCTTTAGGTTTACATTTAGGTCAATGACCCCTTCTGAATTAATGTTATATGTAGGGTGAGGTACAAGTTACAGTTTATTTATTATATGAAATAATAAATAGTATATCAGTTAATTAGATAATATTTTATAATTTATTTTATAATTTTATAAATTTTATAATTTTTTATAATTATAAAATAATAAATAGTATGTCAGTTAATTAGATAGCTGTATGACAGCTATCTAATTAATCTTACAGCACTATTTATTGAAAAGACCATCTTTTCCTCATTGAATTATGGAAGGACCTAAGTTATAAATCAGGTAACTGTTGGGTCTGTTTCTGTGCCCTCTATTCTGTTCCAATAGTCTGTATGTCTAATCTTATGCCAAAACTAAATTAAGCATGTAAGCCTTGATATGTAATATTTTAAATTCTCTCTGTTCCTCTTCTTCAAGACTGTTGTTGCTGTACAGGTTTTTATTTCCTTATAAATCAGCTTATCAAGAAGCCTGCTGGTACTGCATTTGACTCTACCCATAGTTGAGAAAAACTGACATCTTAATGATATTGAATTGTACAACCCACAAAAATGGTATCTTTTTCCTTTTACTCAGGCTTCCCTCAATGTTCTCAGCAAAGTTTTATACAAGTCTTGCACATAATTTGCTAGATGTATTTCTAAGTATTTGATATTTCCAATATGGTTGTAAATGCATTTTTTCAATTTTATTTTCTAATTGTTCATTGCCATTATACAGAAATACAACTGATTTGTGTATCCTTGTACTAGAAAACCTTGTAAAATTGACTACTAATTCTAATAGTCTATAGATTCTTTGGGATTTTCTACCTACCCAAACAATCATGTAATTTGTGCATAATGAATTTTACTCTTCCTTTCCAAACTTTATACCTTTTTTCTTGACTTACTGTGCTGATTCGTTTTTCCAGTACAATACTAAAACAAGTAATAATAGGCTGACTGTGTCTCACGCCTGTAATCCTAGCACTCTGGGAGGCCGAGGTGGGAGGATCCCTTGAACTCAGGAGTCCAAGACCAGCCTACGCAAAATCGGGACCTTATCTCTATTAAAAATAGAAAAAATTAGCTGGGCGTGGTGGTATGCACCTGCAGTCCCGGCTACCAGGGAGGCTGAGGCAGGATAGCCTGAGCTCAGAGTTTGAGGTTGCTGTCAGCTAGGCTGACGCCACGGCATTCTAGCCTGAGCAACAGAATGAGACTCTGTCTCCAAAAAAAACAAAAAAAGGAATGATAGAAGATATAAGATAATCTTGTGCTGTTCCTGAATTCAAGGAAAAAGCAATCAATCAATATTTTACCATTAAGTATGATGTTAGATGTAGAACTTTTTATAGCTATACTTTATCAGATTAGGAAGTTGGCTTCTATTCCTAAATTACTGAGAATTTTTATTATGATGGTGATAAATTTCAAATGCTTTTTCTACATTTATCAATAATCATAATTTTTTTGTCTTTATTTTGTTAATATGATAAATTATACTGATTGATTTTCAAATATTAAATGAATCCTGCATTCCTGGAATAAACCCCATTTAAACATGATGCACACATAGTACTTCTCACTTTGCATGGTACTGCAGGACCATAAAAATGACCATGCAAGCTAACACAGTGCAGCAATCTTAAAAATCCATAGGGTGCAGGCACAGTGGCTCACACCAATAACCCCAGCACTTGGGAGGCCCAGGTGAGAGGATCGCTTGAGCCCAGGAGTTAAAGACCAGCCTGGGCAACATAGCGAGATCACTTCTCTACAAAAAATTTTAAAAATTAGCCAGGTATGATGGCACGCAGCTGTAGTCCTAGCTACTTGGCAGGCTGAGGCAAGAGGATCGCTTGAGCCCAAGAGTTTGAGGTTACAGTGAGTTATGATCGCACGCACGACCGCACTCCAGCCTGAGAAACAGTGAGATCTTGTCTTGGAGAGGGGGGAAGGAAACTACAATTGCTCTATGACCTTCACTAATGTTTATCAAAACTGTCAGTTATAAATATATAGAGTAGTTAAAAAATAGTCAACTAACAATTATTTAGTATGCTGAAATTTAAAACATTATAAGCTAGAAGCATTGAGAATTAAAATGCTTTCGTCCTTCGTAAAGAATTTGAACATTGCTTGCTTTCTCATCACATAGCTTCCAATATGGTATGCACATCTTTTCTATGTTTTGACAATCCTAATGTTGAAGAAATTCTAATCCATGAACATGGAATGCCTCTCCATGTATTTAGACATTTAATTTTTAGTTTTTAAATCCTCTCAGCCATGTTTCGTAGTTTTCTATGTATAAGTCTTGCACAGTTTTGTTAACTTTATTCTTAAGTATTTTATTCTGTTAGATGTTTTTATGAATGGGATTGTTTACTTGATATAATTTTCAAATTATTCATTCCTAATATATAGAAACAGTCCATTTTTGTATATCGATCTTATATCCTGTGAACTTTATTTATTAATTCTAATAGATTTGTGGGTTCCTTCAGATTTTCTATAAACAGAATCATATCATCTGCAAATAAAGTTAGTTTTATTACTTCTTTCTAAACTTGATGCCTTTAATTTCTGTTTCTTCCCTCATTACACTAGCTAAAACCTTTACTACAATGTTGAATAGAAGTGGTGAAAGCAGACCTCTTTGCCTTGTTCCTGTTTAGGAGGAAAACATACAGTCATAGACTATTATGTATGACATGGCTGAAAGTATTTCATAGATGCACTTTTTCATGAATAAAAAAGATCTCTTCTAATCCTAGTTTGTTAACAGTTTTTATCCTGAATGGATGCTGGATTTTGCCAAATGCTTTCTCTGAATCTACTGAGATGATCATGTCTTTAACTCAATCTGGTGCATTACATTAATTAATTTTGAGATATTAAAGCTAAACTTACATTCCTGGGATAAATCTCTTGGCCATAGCATGTAATCATTTTTAAATGTGGCTAGAATCACAATTTGCTAATATTTTATTGAGGATCCTTGCATCTATTTTTCGTTAAGAGATATTGGTCTGCAGTTTTCTTTCAAAAACTTCATCTGGCTTTGGCATCTGGGTAACACTGGCTAAACAAAATGTGTTGAGAAGCATGCTTTCCTCCTTTTTTTTATTTTTGAAAATTTATGAAGAAATTCTTTAAATGTTTGGTGGAATTCATCAATAAAGTCATCCAGGCCTGGTTTTCTTTTTGTGGAAAATTACTAATGACTAATTAAACTTCTCTGTATGTCATAGATCTATTCAGATTTTCTACTTCTTCTTGAATCAGTTTCAATAATTTGTATCTTTTTGAAATTTGTCCATTTTGTCTAAGTTGTTTAATTTGTTGGTCTAACAACACACTCACTATATTAGACAAGTCAGCAAACACCAAAGATTTAATAGTGTTAATCAGCTATGTGAAATTCTACTTGTATTTACGTTTTAACATTATTTCTGTTCTACTTACAAAGAAATTCAATAAAAGAAAACATTTCAATAGTGACTGTGATGGTTAATTTTACATGTCAACAGTTGGCTGGGACATGGTACTCAGATATTTGGTCAACATTATTCTTGCTGTTTCTGGGTGGATGTATTTTGGATGAAATTAACATCGGATAAGATTTTAGATGAGATGAACATAAAATTAAATCAGTGGACTTTGAGTAAAGAAGACTGTCCTCCTTTAACGTGCCTGGGCCTTATCTAACCAGTTGAAAGCCTTAACAGAACAAAGACTGACATCCTCCAGGCAAGAAGGAATTCTGTCAGCAAATAACCTTCAAACTTGACTTGCAACACTGCCTCTTCTTTGGGTTGCCAGCTTTGCTGGCCTACTCTGTAGATTTTGGATTTAACAGTCTCCATAATCCCACAAGCCAAGTGCTTAAAATAAATCTCTCTTTTTCCACATCCTAACTGGTCCTGTTTCTTGAACAATTCTAACTATTATAGTGGTATTTTGTTTTGTTTATTTGTGAATTTGAAGTGAGGCTTTTCTAAACTTTTTTTTTTTTTTTGGAGACAGAATCTCACTCTGTCACCCTGACTAGAGTGCAGTGGCATCATCATAGCTCACAGCAACCTCAAACTCCTGGGCTCAAGTAATACTCCTGCCTAGGCCTACCGAGTAGCTGGGACTACAGGCACTCACCACCAGGCCCAGCTAATTTTTTCTGTTTTTAGTAAAAACATGGTCTCGCTCTTGTTCAGGGTGGTCTCCAATTCCTAAGCTCAAGCAATCCTCAGCCTCCCAGACTGCTAGGATTACAGGCATGAGCCACGGCTCCCAGCTGGCTTTTCTAAACTTAACCCATCTTTATCTTTTTATCAAATTAAAAAATGATACTGTGCTTAAAAAAGGATAAATAATTTTCTAATTCATTATATTTTATTTTAAAACTTATTGAAAATATTAATCGATTTCTCCTTAAAATGAATTTAGTTACTTAAAATATTGCCATATTAAAAGCCAAGTTCTCAGCTGGGCGAGTGGCTCAGCCTGTAATCCTAACTGGTAGGCCCAGGGTGGGAGGACTCATTTAGTCAGGAGTTGAGACCCGCCCTGCGCAAGAGCAAAACACTGTCCTTACAAAATTTTAAAAAGAAAAAAAAAATTCGCTGGGCACAGGTCAACTGCTGTAGTCGCAGCTACTAGGAGGCTGAGGCAGAAGGATCGCTTGAGCCAGGAGT